GCCTTGGGCAGCTCCTTCATGGACTGGAATTGCATACCTGTGGCTTTTCCAGGTGCACAGTGCAAGCTCATGGTGGATCTGTCATTCTGGGGTCTGGAGTATAGTGGACTTCTCACAACTCCAGTAGGCAGCTTCAGTGGGGACTCTGCATGAGGGCTCCAACCCCACATTTCCCTTCTGCATTGCCCTATTACAGGTTCTCCATGAGGGCTCTGCCCCTGCCGAAGACTTCTGCCTGAACATCCAGGCATTTTTGTACATCCTCTGAAATCTAGGCAGAGGTTCCTAGAACTCAACTTTTGTCTTATGTGCACTCACATGCCCAGCACACATGGAAGCCACCAATGCTTGAGGACTGCCGTTTTGAAGAAATAACCCAAGCTGTACCTTGGCCCCTTTTAGCCACAGCTGGATCTGGAGCAGCTGGGATGCAGGGCACTAAGTCCCAAGACTTCATGGAGCAGTGGGGCCCTGGGCCTCGACTATGAAACCATTGTTGCCTCCTAGGGCTCCTGGCCTGTGATGGAAGGACCTGTCTCAGATCTTTGACATGATCTAAAGACATTTTCCCCATTGTCTTGTCTATTAACATTCAGCTCCTCTTTACTGTTGCAAATTTCTGCAGTGGCTTGAATTTCTTTTCAAAAAATGGGGTTTTATTTTCTACCTAATGGTCAGGCTGCAAATTTTCCAAACTTTTATGTTCCGCTTCCATTTTAAACATGTTTCTCATCTCCATCTGAGACCACCTCAGCTTGGACTTTATCATCCATATCACTATTAGCATTTTGGTCAAAAGCATTCAAGTCTCTAGGAAGTTCCAAACTTTCCCACATCTTTCTTTTTCTGAGCTCTCTAAACTGTTTCAACCTCTGCCTATCACCCGGTTCCAAAGTCACTTCCACAATTTCAATTATCTTTATAGTAGTGCCCCAAACTCCCAGTATTAATTTTCTGTATTAGTCTGTTTTCACACTACTTCAAAGACACTACCAGAGAATGGGTAATTTATTCAGAAAGGAGGTTTAATTTGCTCACAATTCTGTATGGCTGGGGAGGTCTCAGGAAACCTACAATTATGGTGGAAGGCAAAGGAGAAGCAAGTACCTTGTTCACTAGGCAGCAGGAGAGAGGGAAAGCAGGAAAAACCACCACTTATAAAACCATCAGATCTTTTCAAAACTCACTATCATGAGAACAGCTTGGGGGGAAATCACCCCCCTGTTCCAATCACCTCCCACCAAGTACCTCCACTGACACGTGGGGATTATCATTTGAGATAAGATTTGGGTGGGATAAGATTTTACAGTAATGAATTCAATGTAAGGCACAGAATATAGATTTATTTTGAGAATCTCTAAGGTTTCCAGGTTTCTCATTAATTATCCCCCTTAATAAAATAATCTTTTTTGTTTCAATATTGTTTTTCTGTTCTGAAAATGCATATACAAAGTTGCACACAAACACTCTCACTTGCTATATAACTTTTTTTTATACTTAAGGTGCATTTTTTTTTTTTTTTTAATGGTGTCTCACTCTGTCATCCAGGCTGGAGTACAGTGGTGCCACCTTGGCTCACTGCAACTTCTGCCTCCCAGGTTCAAGCAATTCTCCTGCCTAAGCCTTCCTAGTAGCTGGGAATACAGGCACGCATCATCATGCCCAGATCATCTTTTGTATTTTTAGTAGCGATGGGGTTTCATCATGTTGACCAGGCTGGTCTTGAACTCCTGACCTCAAATTATCTGCCCACTTCTGCCTCCCAAAGTGCTGAGATTATAGGCATAAGCCACTGCACCTGGCTGGTACATCTTTAGAGTAAGATATTTGCATATGTAACTCTATACAAATAAAAACTAAAAGTCTGTCTTTGTTGGTCAGCAGAGAGGCCACATGTACAAAAAATATATAAAACCAATTTTTAAAAATATTTAATCAAGACTTAGAAATGTCTGGATATTAATTATATTTATGTAATTTTTATGATCATAAAATGACCCTATGGTTAATAATTCAATTGCACATACTGAAATAACTAAAACTGTATAATGGAAATGTTTGTAATACAAAGTATAAATACATGCTTGAGGTGATGAATACTTCATATACTCTGCTGTGATAATTAAATAATGTATGCCTGTGTTAACATACCTCATATATGCCATAAGTGTGTATGCACACTATCTACCCACAAAAAATTTTTAAAAATCTAAATAAGGTACAAAAGAATACAAATTTCACCTATGAGAACAAAATTCTTCAACTTCTTTCCAGTTTAAAACCACTGGAGGGCCAGGCGTGGTAGTTCACATTCGTAATCCCAGCATTTTGGGGTGCCAAGGCAGGTGGATCACCTGAGGTCAGGAGTTCAAGACCAGCCTGGCCAACATGGTGAAACCTCATCTCTACTAAAAATACAAAAATTAGCCAGGTGTGGTGGCACATGCCTGTAGTCCCAGCTACTTGGCCGGCTGAGACAGGAGAATTGTTTGGACCCAGGAAGCGGAGGTTGCAGTGAGCTGAGATTGCACCACTGTACTCCAGCCTGGGCAACAGAGCAAGACTCCGTCTCAAAACAAACAAGCAAACAAAAAACACTGGCAAAAAAGAGATTACTAGAGATGTCACTCCCCTACCTTGACAAATAGTATATTGTTCCCATCATTTACTTAGAACCTTGAGTAAGATGAGACACATTCATGTTGATGGCAAATTAACACTTCATTGAAAGCACAACAGTTTTAACACATTAAAAACAACTTTGTTTAATGAAAAATTAAGTTCACACATAATCTTTAAAACTTTTTTAAATTTATTGCATTTTATTACATAAAGGTACAATTGATAAACAATCTCTTATATCTCTGATGCAACAATTGATCAAATACTTTCACAAACAATGGGATGAAAGAATCAACATGAAGTAATCTGAGACTTGAGTTACAATATTATTTGCTTCTCAGAAAATGTGTATTTTTTTTTTTTTTACAGAAAAAGCATACCTCGAATATAATTATAAATCTCCAAAAAAATCTACTTCTTTAAAATGTACATAGTGTTATCTTTGGATCTCTTTTACACTCAACACTCTGATTTAGTATAATGTCTAGTTTCAGTGCCTTCATTCTTTCTACTGTTAATCCTCAAATGTTTATATAGACTTACTTTTTAGTTAAATATGTTTTCCCCATTTACTGGATCTGCAAAAATATTTAGTATAAACTGATGTTTTCTAAGCTGTAGTATTTGAACAAATGTTTTTTCGCATTCATTACATGTTTAGGCTTTCTCTGCAATATAAATGCTCTGATGTTCAACAAAGTTTGAGCATCTGCTTCAGGGTTTTCCTTTAATATAGAATGCATACAATAATATCTGTAATGCAAGTAAAGATACAACAATCCTCTTTATGTTCGTATGTTTGTCTTCAGAATAAATAGTCTTTACTTTAAAGGGCTATATTTTCCAGAAGGTATTTTTACAGTAATCATATTTATAATTTTTTTTTGGTTTTTTAAGATAGAGTCTCACTCTGTCATCCAGGTTGTAGTGTAGCAGCTCTATCTTGGCTCACTGCAACCTCCACCTCCCAGGTTCAAGCAATTCTCCTGCCTCAGCCTCCAGAGTAGCTGGGATTACAGGCACATGCCACCACCCCCGGGTAATTTTTGTATTTTTAGTAGAGATGGGCTTTCACAATATTGGTCAGGCTGGTCTTGAACTTCTGAACTCATTATCCACTGACCTTGGCCTCTCAAAGTGCTGGAATTTCAAGCATGAGCCAACACGCACAACCTATAATGCTTTTACTAAGTATAAACTTTCTGATATTGAGTAAAATGTGAGCTGATATTAATGGCTTTTCACATTCTTTGTATTTCTACAATTTTTCTCTAGTATAAATGCTTTCTTGTGCCATAAGGTGTGAGAATTTATTAAAAGTTTTGCCACATTCTTCATTTCATATTTGTAGTTTTTCTTCAGTATAAATTATCTTACCTACCATAACGTGTGACTACCATTTAAAGGTCTTGCCACATTTAACACATTTCTAGTTTCTCACCAGTATGATTTCTATTTTTTAGAAAAGTTTGAGATAAGGTTAAATGCTCTGTCACATTTTTATATCTGTAGAGTTTCTCTCCAGTATAAGCTCTGTCACATTTTTATATCTGTAGAGTTTCTCCAGTATAACATTTTTAATAAATAAGGATGGAGAACCAGTTAAAGGTTTTGCCACATTTTTTCTACAATTGCAGGGGTCTTCCAACGTCAATTATCTTACAGTTATTCAGGTTTGAGGACTCTTTTAAAGAATTTCATGCATTCTTTTTATTGTAGATTTCTCTTAATATTAATTTTCATGTATAATGAGGGTCTATACCAGTTAAAAGCGTTACTACATTCTTGTTTTAGGGTTTTCAGAACAAATGAGAAGATATTGTGTAAGGCCTAAGATGTGCTTAAAGGTTTTGTCACTTTTTTTTTTTTTAACCTTTCTAGGGTCTCTCCAATATAAATTATCTTACGTTTTGGGAGGCTGAGGCAGGTGGATCACCTGAGTTCAAGACTAGCCCATCAACATGGTGAAACCCCATCTCTACTAAAAATGAGAAATCAGCCAGAGTAGTGGCACATGCCTGTAATCCCAGCCACCAGGAGGGTGGAGGGAGGAGAATCACTTGAACCCAAGGCAGAGGTTGCAGTGAGCTGAGATCATGCCACTGCACTCCAGCCTGGGTGACAAAGGAGATGCCATCTCAAAAAATACATTTTAAAATAAATTTCTTGGGTTCATTAAGGTTTATGGGTTGGTCAGGGTTTTGTTACATTTTTTCACATTTATAAAATTGTCCTGTTTAGTGAATTCTCTAATTTTCTATTATGTTTGAAACTTGTTAAAGGCTTGTCCATATTCTCAAATTCTCTTACACTTGTAGTGTTTTATTCTATAAATTATTTATGTATTATAAGACTGAGGCTGGACTTTGCTACATTATTTATATGCATTTGCAGGGTTTCTCTCCAGTATGAATTCTCTTATGTTTAGCAAGACTTGAATGCCTCTTAAAAGCTTTGTCACACTGTTCACATTTGTAGGGTTTCTCTCCAGTATGAATTCTCTTATGTGTCCTAAGCGTTGAGGAGCAGCTAAAGGCTTTGCCACATTCTTCACATTTGTAGGGTCTTTCTCCAGTATGAATTCTCTTGTGATTAGTAAGTGTTGAGGAGAGACTAAAGGCTTGGCCACATTCTTCACATGTGTAGGGTTTCTCTCCGGTGTGAATTCTCTTGTGTCTAGTAAGGTTTGAGGGCCACCTAAAGGCTTTGCCACATTCCTCACATCTGTAGGGTTTCTCTCCAGTATGAATTCTTTTATGTGCAGTAAGGTTTGAGGAGCGGTTAAAGGATTTGCTACATTCATCACATTTGTAGGACTTCTCCCTGGTATGAATTATCTGATGTTGATTTAGGTGTGAAAGCATGCAAAATGATATGCCATATTTTTTACATTTCAAATGTTTCTTTCCAGTGCATCTTGTTTCATGTCTATTGCAATTTGAAAATTTACCAAAGACTTTGACACATTTATGAGTCTGAAATATTTTGTTTTGGGCATTTGACAAACATCGGTTAACTTCATTATAACCTCCTTTGTGCACCTCACACTCACCCACACTTTTATAGCATTTTTTAAATTGTAAATTCTCATGTCCACATTTTCCATATGTTCTCGGTATTACTGTTTGGAGTGAATCTTTTATGCCCTGCTCTGGATGAAGTTCTTGGGTGAAATGAGAACATGTAACTGAAAGACATAAAAATCACAAGTTACAGCACTTACTAGACTCAGATAAATATACTTTACAAATCGAATATATAAAATTATACAAGGCACATTAGCAAAATGGCATATCAAAATACCACAGGCCACAATTCCTTCATAGATGTATAAATGTAACAACATCATAGTAATCAAAATACCTTTGGCGGAAATTTATAGAGTAAGTGTGTGCCTGATGTGAGCACAATGTCAAAAGCCATATATAGAGAAAAGAAAAGTCAGCTACATTTACCCAACACAGCCCTTCCTCATCCCCAATAGAACATGGTGCCTTTAATGACCATGTTTTTAAGCTTTAAGTCTTGAGATCAAAAGTGAATGTTACAACAGCAGAAAGACTGCAGTACCATGGATGGAAAATAGGTGTAGAAAGTAGTTATTGACAAGTAATAAGAAATGTGAAGAAGTCTTCTAACTGAAAAATAAATACAAAATTGCAGACAAGACACATCATGAGAACATATTTGGGAGACTCCCAGAACCTCTACCTAAGACAATTGGTTTCAGGCTATACCAGAAAAGAGCTGCATTATAAAGATTGTGAAAGGTAGTTTTATGTTAATGTCTAAATCTTAACCAAAGATTATAATGTATACGAAGTATTTGGGCAACATGGTCCAATAAAAAAAAACAAAATTTTCAAAAGCAACTATAAAAATAAAGATGTATATATTAATTTATAAAATGTAAGATAATCTATATTTTGCTCAATGAGAAAACTGGAAAATCAGACATCAGATAAGTGAGAATATCAACAAAAGGCTTGGAATAATAAAAATAGACAATTGTGGAGGTAAAAAAGAATAACTGAAATAAATTTAAAGTATGAAAAAAGTAATGTAAAAAATGAAGAAACTAAACAAACAAACCAGGATATACACATATAAAAAGATCCATAAAACATATTTAAGCAAAGTTTCAAAAGTCACAAACCAGAATATAATCTTGGGAGCTGCAAGATAAAAGTGAGGTATTATTTATAAGCCTAGTCCTCTGAGACAACCAGTGAATTTGTCAACAGAAACCTTGCAGGTCAGAAAAGAACTGTGTTAAATGTTAAATGGTCAAAGGCTGAAGAAAAAATCTTCATTGTGAGAATAATGTAACCAGCAAAAATGTACTATAAAATAAATAAAAAATAAAGATCTTCCAGAATAAACAAATGCTGGAAAAGCATATAAGCACTGCATGTGCCCTAAATAAAATGCTGAAAAGAGGTCTTTCAACTTAAAATAATAGACGAAAAAAATATATAATCATATAAAATACATGTTTTTGAGAAACATGCATATACACACACAAAACAAATCCGTGGTATTATTGTGATGCTGCAGAAAACATTTTTAGTTATTCTTTAAAATTTGAAAGATATAAGCATAAAAACAATCATAAAACATAAAATGATACAATTAGCAACATCAATAGAAGCATAGGGTAGATATAATGAGGACACATTTTTCTATGCAACTGAAGTCATTTTTTTAAACCAGGTTAAAATATACTGTTGTAGCATTAACAGGTTTTATAAAATCTCTAATGTAGCACAAAGAAAAAATCTTTATAGACACACAAAAGAAATGTATATATTAATTTATAAAATTTAAGATAATCCATATTATCTTAAATGTTATTACTAGCATGAGATGTTACTAGTTACTAGTATGAGACAAAGACTGATTACTAGCATGAGACAAAGACTGACATTATATAATGGTAAAATGAGTCCATTTACTAGGAATCTATAACTATTATGTCTATCTATATGTATATGCATATATAACATCAGGGCTTCAAAATGTATAAAGCAAATATTTACAAAAATGAAGCAAGAAATCAAATAGAAACATAAAATTATAAACATTAAGACCTCACTTTCAATAATAAATTAAAAATTTAAATAAAAAATCAATTAAAAAACAGAAAACCTGAGGAACATTATATTGTATATGAATTCATTTTGCAATGCTATAGAAAATAACCTTAGACTGGGTAATTTTTTTTTAATTTTTATTTTTATTTTCTTTTTGAGACAGAGTCTTGCTCTGTCGCCCAGGCTGGAGTGCAGTGGTGCAATCTTGGCTCACTGCAAGCCCCGCCTCCCAGGTTCACACCATTCTCCTGCCTCAGCCTCCTGAGTAGCTGGGACTACAGGCGCCTACCACCACGCTCGGCTAATTTTTTTGTATTTTTAGTAGAGACGGGGTTTCACCGTGTTAGCCAGGATGGTCTTGATCTCCCGACCTCGTGATCCGGAGACTGGGTAATTTATAAAGAAAAAGATTTCTTTGGTTCACAGTTCAGTAGACTGTACAAAAAGTATATGCCAGTATTTGCTTCTGGTGAGGATATGAAAAAGCTCACAATTATAGTGGAAGGCAAAAAAGAACCAAATATGTACATGGTGAAAGATGATGCACGTGTGAGGTGGAGTAATCAGGTTCCTTTAAGCAACCAGCTCTCATGTGAATTAACAGACTGAGAACTCTATGATTACCAAGGGGATTGTGCCAAGTCATTCATGAGGGATTTGTCTCCATGATGCAAACAGCTCTCATTAGGCCCCACATCCACCATTGGAGATTACATTTCAATATGAGATTTGGAGGGCATCTATACCATATCACAAACCAAATAGTCTAAACAGACATGTACAGAACTCTCCAGTCAAAAGCAAGTGGATACACAATATTCTTATTTGCACCTGGTGCATTCTGTTAGAACACACGAGTCTTAGTAAATTTAAAAAGATCAGCCAGGTGCAGTGGCTCACAGGTGTAATCCCAGAACTTTGGGAGGCCAAGATGGAAGGATCACTTGGGGCAAGAAGTTTGATACTAGCCTTGGGAACATGGTGAGACCCTGTCTCTACAAATAATTAAAAATTAGCTGGGCATGGCCGGGCAGGGTGGCTTACGCCTGTAATCCCAGCACTTTGGGAGGCCAAGGCATGTGGATCACAAGGTCAAGAGATCAAGACCATCCTGGCCAACATGGTGAAAACCCGTCTCTACTAAAAAATAAAAAAAAATTTTTTAAATAAAAAATAAAAAAAGCCAGGTGTGTTGGTGGGCCCCTGTAGTCCCAGCTCTTCAGGAGGCTGAGGCAGGAAAATCACTTGAATCCGGGAGGCGGAGGATGCAGTGAGCAAAGATTGCACCACTGCACTCCAGTCTGGGGAACAGAGGAAGACTCCATTTCAAAAAAAAAAAAAGAAAAAAATTAGCTGGGCTTGGTAGGGTAGGCCTGTAGTGCCAGCCACTCAGGAGGCCAAGGTGGAAGGATTACTTGAGTCCAAGAGGTTGAGGCTGCAGTGAGACAAGATTGTGTTACTGCACTACAGTCTGGGCAACAGAGTGAGAAATGCTGTGTCAAAAAAAATTTAAGAAAAGCAAAATCATACAGTGTATGTTTTCTAATCAAAACTAAATAAAACTGAAAAGGAAAAAAGTAAAACTGGCAAATCAAAAATATATGGAAATAAACACATTCTTCAATATATTCTTGCACAAGGTCATTTAATTTAATTTAATTTAATATTTTTGCTCAAGGGTCAACATATTTAAGTGACAATTTGTTAAGAAGTCAGTATAACCCACAGTGGTGAACAAATTTAATATAATCTGTATCAAAATTCCAAAAGTATATTTATTCCTGAAATATTGTTTAAAATTTTAAAATTTTATTATGAACTATATCTAGAGAAACGCACATGAAAAACACAGAGGCATTATGCTCCATAATTTCAAAACACAATAAAAAGCTGCAATAACAGTAACTATGTGGTATTCACAAAAAGACAAATAAAGACATGATAAAATAGGGAGACCAGCAATGAACTCTTCTGTGTATGACCAAATAATCTGCCACAAGGTTGCCATGAGCAGACAATGGAGAAAATATCATCCCTTCAACAGATAATGTTGAAAACTGGATATCTACATTGAAAAAATGAAGTTGAATACTTTAATCGCATCATATACAAAAGATATTTTAAACAAAATACTTAGACTAATTAAAAAAACTAATGAAACTCTTAGAAAAAAATACAGTGGAAAGACATGACATTGGTCTTGGCACCATTTTCTTAGACATGCCATCAAATGCATGAGCCACGAATAGGAGAACAGAAAACTTTAACCGGACTAAACTTCAAAATTTCTGCAATCAAATAAAACATTTAATAGAGTGACAGTGTCACCCAAGAAATGGGTGACAATATTTGAAAATCACATGTGATGACTTAATATTGAGAATATATAAACAACTCCTAGAACTAGACAATAACTGATGATTTAATAATCTAATAATTACTTGATTTAGAAACGAACAAATGAGCCTGGTGCAGTGGCTCACACGTAATCCCAGAACTCTGAGAGGCTGAGGTGGGCAGATCACCTGAGATCAGGAATTTGAGACCAGCTTGACCAACATGGTGAAACCCATCTCTACTAAAAATACAAAATTAGCTGGGCATGGTGTCAAATCCCTAATCCCAGGTACTCAGGAGGCTGAGGCAGAAGAATTGTTTGAATCTGGAAGGCAGAGATTGCCATGAGCCAAAACTGTGCCATTGCACTGCAGCCTGGCTAACAAGAGCGAAACTCCATCTCAAAAAAAAAAAAAAAAAAGAAAGAAAGAAAGAAAGAAAGAAAAGAAAAGAAAAAGAAAAAGAAAAGAAATGGACAAATGATTAAATTTTAATAAAACAGATATACACCCAGTTCCAAGATGGCCAAAAAAGAACAGCTCCAGTCTGCAGCTCCCAGTGTGACTGATGCAGAAGATGGGTGCTTTCTGCATTTCCAACTAAGGTGCCTGGTTTATCTCAATGGGACTGGTTAGACAGTGGGTGCAGCCCACAGAGGGTGAGCCAAAGCAGGGTGGGGCATCACCTCACCTGGGAAGAGCAAGGCGTCGGGGGAATTCTCTTTCCTAGCCAAGGGAAGCCATGACAGACTGCATCAGGAAAGTCAGGACACT